CTCTTTCCCAGTGTGACTATAAGGAAGCTTCTTCCCCTTGGCAACACTGCTGTCTTTCATGGCAGCAAAAAAAACCAGTGAAGTTTATGGCAAATTTAAAAGTTCTATGTTTGGGCAAAACATATGCAAAGGCACTTCTTTATATATAAGCCATTATGTCACAAACTCCTAATTTCTGGTTTAGTGCTTTTTGGAATTTAGACTTTTAAGCACCTGTTTCAGCTTTAAGCTTTTGATAAGCCATTATGTCACAAACTCCTAATTTCTAGTTTAGTACTTTTTGGAATTTAGACTTTTAAGTACCTGTTTCAGCTTTAAGCTTTTATTCCTACTAAGTGATTTTCAAAGATAAGACAGTGGAAAAAAACATGAATGTGAAATTACAGCTGAAAATTCACCCTACCTAAACTCAGAATCCTAATTATACAGCAAGGTCATTACTTTGGATTTCATAAACTTATTTGTTGTGCATTTACAAAAAACTTTATTTGGCGTCATGAAAGATTCCTAGTGCCACATTTTTAATCTCTGGAGTGAGATACTGAAGCCTTTCAGCTCCCAGAGAAGTTAAATAGGTGTTGGCTGAGCAGGAAGTATGTAAAATTTTACAGCTTTGAAATTCTTTTAAGTCCGGATCTTGTATCTGTTTATTCTTGCAAGAGTCTGGCAGGTTTAGCTTCTTGTGCATGCCTTCCTCAGCTGTTTTAAGATAATAGCCTACTATTCTCTGGACTTCATTGTCTGAACGTATTTGGAGCTGAGTATCTTGTGACTCATATGACTGAAAATCCATCGCTGTCACTAGAGGAAGCTGAGGGCAGGGCTGTTCAGTCCAGGCCACCCTTACTTGTTCTTAGTTGTATTATAGCAGTTAGCAAAAGTATCAGCAGTTAAGTTTATTGAAAATCTGGCTTAATATTGCTCTGAGGATTCTGAAGTCTTTTGGTTCTTTTACATATTCGTAAGTCAAACTGGTTTTCTTCCCTCTTTAAAGGATATCATTCCTTTTGGCAATAACCCTGTTTTCCGTTACCTGTTTGGCTGGATGGTTCCTCCAAAAATCTCCTTGTTAAAACTCACCCAAGGAGAAGCTATTCGAAAGCTGTACGAGCAACACCACGTTGTGCAGGACATGTTGGTCCCAATGAAGAGCCTTGAAAAATCTATCCAGACCTTCCATGATGACCTTAATGTAAGAACACATTTTTAAAATGCAGCGACTCTTGAGATTGTTTGTAATAAAAACTGTGCCTGTTGATCTTAAGACGTAATAGTCTGCTTGTGTAAAAGGTCATGATTGTGTCCTGGGGAGCGCTGTGCTTTGTGAGTCTATGATACAAGGCTGCAGAAGAAATGAACACAGCTTCCTGGAAAAAGGAAATATTTAAAAAGTGAGATTCAAACTTGATTAGAAGGCCAACGCTTCCAAAAGATTTCATCACTTAGCAAAACTTAAACTGATTTTTCTTTCACCTGCAATGACTGGCAGTCTCATTAAACTCCCACTGTGGGAATTAACATCCCTTTCGTGCTATCATTTCTGAATTTATTTTAGCTAGTATTGGCAATTGGCACTTTCAGTTTTGGACTGACCTGGGAAAGAAAACTCTTCTTTCTACTCAGAATGTGTATTCAGTTGCTGCTTTGGGATCAGGGATGGGTTGGTTTTTTTCATTTCAGATATTTAAGGGGGAGGAGGTGTAATTCTCGGAGGGCACAGTGCCTATTCTGAGCATCTCGGTCTATTTGCATTATGGTCATTAGAAAGTGGAGCTAAGAGCTACAGCAAGAGAATTGGAAATGAAGAGTTGTGCAAGTCTCAATCCCAGCTTGGAAAGAGGTCCTCTTAACTCTTCACTCTGTCACCTTTACTAGGGGATAGGTTAAATGATTGTGTTGTTAAAAATATGTGATAAAGTGTTTTCTTACCTCTGCAGGTGTACCCTCTTTGGTTATGTCCTTTCATATTACCCAATAATCCTGGTATGGTCCACCCAAAAGGGGACGAAGCAGAACTCTACGTGGACATAGGAGCTTATGGAGAGCCCAAAAGAAAACAATTTGAAGCCAGGGCTTCAATGAGGCAAATGGAAAAGTTTGTAAGAAGTGTGCATGGGTAAGGATTCCACTCCTTAGAATAGGAATAACGGCATACAATTTATACCTGTGTGGTTTAATCAGTTATTTAATCCCACAGCACTTCAATATTGCAGTAACTTAACAGCCACAATAACTGAAAACTAATCTTAATTACTAATTGTTCAATATTATTTTACTTCGGTTGTTTCATTGCAAAACCAGCCAAGCGCATTGGCTGAAGTTCTTGCAAAGAAAGTGTTTGGGAGCTGGGTCGCTTCACGTCACCTGTGCATCCTTTTCAGCTCCAAGCTGGGAGTAGAGTCTCTGCCACAACGAAATACATCCATGCACTCGGGTTCAGAAAGACCTCAGCACGTCTGTACTGCCTGCAGAAGTGGTGTTAGCGTGGGTCAGTGACCACTCAGCCAGGCTGGCTTGTCCAACCCTTGGGAAGGCAACCGCTGAGCTTGCACACTGAGGTGGACTTGTTTCAGGCCAGTTCAGAGCAGGCGCAGAGCAAGTGCTGTTCTGGCTGCAGTCCTTCCAGGAAATCCACAGATTATTAAAAGTTGGACACCTTCCCTGCCTGCCCTTGGGACCGTTCTGCTCCTGGCAGTCCCTGAAGGTCATGCTGCGCCTCTGCCCCAGCCTTGCGCTGGTGTGTCCTTGCACAGGGAGGCCGGCCTTGCCTGTTCCCTGCCGTCCCTGTGCAGGGGTGGGAGACTTTCCTCCCTCCCAACTTGCACTTCCATAGCTTCCCTGTCCCTGCCCCGACTGTTACACAGGACTGCAGTAGGCGTGAGATGCGTGCCCGCCATCTGTCGCGGACTCGTGCCAGCCTCATTCACTGGTAGTGGTGTCAGTGGAGAAACAGCTACAGACTTGTTTCTCAGGAACAAAAAACAACTACACGGTATTTTTACACTATCAGTCTAATTTATCCACAGTTCTGTTTTGACCTACTTCTCAGTCTAACAGTGATTACATCCCATGTGGCTGAGTAACAGTGGTGAGTCTGCTCCGAGATGATTTGGAGGGTGTAAACGACTTTTAGCTGCAATAAGTGATCTGCCAGAGAGCAAAGCAAACGAAAGTTAATTTTAAGCTTTTTTTTTAAATTAACTCGGAATTAAGCTTTTAATTGAAAGCTCTTTATTAACAAAGTTTTGTCTTTTCTCTGCCTGTCACTGGGAAATGAAAAACGGATAAAGGCTTAATCTGACAGTTTTGTAATCACATAAACCAGTAGAGCTTTTGTGTAACAGTTTTACTGCTGTGCTCTGATGGTATCTGCATTTTACAGAGCATAGTATAAAAGCAAGGAGGAGTCTGCAGCTTATTCATGATTTCATAATCATTATTGTGAAAGATGTTGTAGTGATTTAATAACCATTGTTTTGCAAATGGATCTTTGTTACACTGTGCTTAATTTGCACTGTAAATTTATCGTCTCGGACTGATTGATTTGGTAGGCTTTTGCCTTCCCAGTTATATCCTCAGTGTTCAGTTCAAAGAAACCTCAGAAAATCAAAGAAGGTATTGCTCTATCTGCCTTGAACGCAGTTTGTAACGCCGGCTGGTACGAGAGACCATGGCTGTACCTCCATGGATCAAAAGAAAACACGTAGAAAAAATACTTCATTTTTTGTTTTGGAGCTGGAATTAAAAGGTTTTTAATGGAAGAAAAAGGAAAGTAGGCTTTCAAAAGCAGTTAGAAGAGTGTTAGTGAGGGATAATTTAGGTTATGGGTGGTTTTTGGTACAAGGGGCCAGACTCTTGATTTGGGGACCTATTAAAGTTCTCTCTAGGCTTGTGTTCCTGCGAACACAAGTTGTTAAAATACGGCTTGTCAGAAGATTTAGCTGCACATGGGTAAGATGTCTAAACATGAACCATTATTTCATACACATTTTTCAGTCCTTTTCTCTTTGTAGCACCAAAACTACTGAAAGTATCACCACCTTAATGGCGAAAGAAGTATTCTCAAACAAATGTTAACAGTGGCGGTTACTTTAATTGCTTTCTTTTTCCATCTTCCCCATCACCAGAATATCTGTAGTTTTGACCAAAATTCTTCTGTTTTCACCTTTCCATGTTATTTCCTCTTGGAAAAGAGATCGTGGTGCTGTTAAATCCACCAAATACAATTGGCTGAGTGTCTCAGCCTAATCCCCATGAGCAATTATAGTTGCTTATTTATTTTTAAGGGCTGTTTTTTGGTTGAATATTTGCTATTTGTAGCTTTCCCTGATTGCTTCTTTATTCTATTTCAAATCTTGTGGTACAATTAGTACTGAATCTCTGTCTCTTTTCTTTTTCTCTTTTTTTTTTGCCCCCTTCAGTTTCCAGATGCTGTATGCAGATTGCTATATGACCCGTGAGGAGTTCTGGGATATGTTTGATGGTTCGTTATACCACAAGCTGAGGGACCAAATGAATTGCAAGGATGCCTTTCCAGAAGTGTATGACAAAATCTGCAAAGCTGCGAGGCACTAAGCCTCAGTGATCTAATCGAGCAATCAGGGAAAGATTAATTTACCTATAGCTAGTCAGTATATCCTTTAAAAAAAAAGCTTTATTGCTCTCCAAATAAGCTCATTCTCGTTGATGTTTAAAGGTATGAATTCCTGCTTTATAAATTTCTGTTTAGTCTTTCTTCATATGTTTTAAAACCAATTTTCCAAACTCCAAGTGATTGTTTTGAAGAAATCTTAAGTGCTAGCCTTTGTATCTAATGTAGTGACATAGGTGAATTCACCCATTTCCAAGCATAAGAAGAATTGGAAAGGGTGAAGATACTGGAGTTACGCCAGCTGTGTACTGTATCTATATTTAACGTTACTTTGGAAAATGCTAAGGAGGGCTCAGAAATAGGTGCCAAAGCTGAACGCGTTGTCGAATTAACGATGATGTTAGAAACGTCTGCCTCCAGTCGGTGACCTGTAGGACAGCTTAGCAGTGGTACCGTAACCTCCCAGCTATAGAGCACTGCAGGGTGGTGTGTGGTACCCTACTGCTCGGGTTGTACCGTCCTGTTGTCAGAGCAGTTCAACTCCCTCACAGCAGCTCCAGTTTCAAAACTGAGCGTTGAGGTGTGAAGAAAATGCTTTTTACCTGTGCCTATCGGATTTGTACTGATCTCGATGATAAAATGTAAGCGGATGTAGGTTTGGGGTATTTTTTTTAATTGGTTAGCAGTGCATTGGTTTTTGCCCCAAAATATCAATGTTCTGGCCTTGTAGACTACCGAAAAAAATGCTGCTATTTCATATGGCCAAGTTTTAATTTCAGTTTTTGCTCTTTGTGGGTCAGTTTATTTGGATGGATTTTGGGGGATTGTTCTGGGGGTTTTTTTTTTTGAGGGAGTTTTGGGTTTTGCTTAATTTTAGTGCCTTATAAATACGCAGTTGGAGGACGAGGTGGGTTATTTCAGACCGTTCTGTCCTGGCCAGTAGGAAAAGGAAGTCAAGGCTTTATTTGTACGAGGTGTGTTAGAACAAGAGGCTGTGGATAACAAGAAACCTTGTGAATCTTGATACACGCAGGCTCTGGTTCTGCCTCGAGTGACATTTTTGCTTTTCGTTGTAGCTGGATTAGGTTGATAGGCTTTGTAAAAGGACTGTTTCAGTCACCTGCAGAGGAAATCAACAGCAAGTACTGTTCAGGTCCTGCTTCTGCTGCTTGCTGGTGAAAACAGCACAGTCACGCACTTCAAGGGTCAAAGTGTGGAAATGTTTTGACCCTGTAGCCAGAAACATGGTTCCAAACCAAACCCATGTCTTGTCCAAGCAGTACTTAAAATTGTTACTTAGAACCTGACTGAGCTTGAGAGAAAATAAAGTCATTTTCTTGAAGCTTGCGTAGGAGGTAACATGAGGAACTTATTACACAGTTACCAGCGGGAGGAGTTGTAATTTTTACGAGTGCTAAACCAATGATTTTATTTATTGATAGATGGATGTTTATGGTCCAGATGAAACCAATGATAAAGCAGTAACAAAAATAAACTTGGCATGTTACTCAGTGATGAGTGCTGGGCAAATCATGTGCGAATAAAGGTGTCCCTCAAAATCCTGGAAGCGGGGCAGCCTGCCAAGGGGAGACGCAGCCAAGGCAGAGCGCCTGCGGTGCCACCCAGGCCACGGAGCCGGGCGGGAGGTGGAGCTGTGTCAGTGATCCGGGAGCGTCTGCTACACCGCTCCAGGCTTCAGGATACACAGGAAGGCAAACGCTGGTTCTCAGGGTGGTGCCTGCCTTCCTGCCCTTGCTCCTTGTCCCTGGGACACAGCTGTGATTGAGCCCAGTGCTTGTAAAAT